CCCCCCCTTAAAATAGGTTTAATTCCTGTCCACCTAAAATTTTACCACTAACCTTATATGCATTGCGAGTTTGGTAGCGATCAGTGAAGTTCGCTTCACTGTATTTCGCTGTACGATGACGATGATGCTGAGTGTAAGGTGATTCTGCAGTACAATTGAGTGCCTTTCCACACTGTTAATGTTTAGGCCCGGGAATCCCCCGATTCAAGAAATCTGACGGAGTCTTTACTGAGTGCATGATTAAATACTGTAAATTAACTGTGCCGGAATCTCTCGATCCTTACGTGTATGCATGAAACATGCTTTTGGGTCGACATGGAACGGATTATCTTTATCTTACTACGAGAGTTTCATCACGATGAGTATCGATTAATTGTTTCATACCACTTGTATTATTGTGTCAGTTTCATTAAGATCGAAGAAATAATTGTCTTCACTATTTTATTCACAAATGAACAAAAAGACAGCGCTTTGGCGCACTGAAGACAAAATGTGCCGAAAAAGCAGGTTATATGTATGTAATTTCGCGTACTGTCTTGGGACAAATTCCGACCAAAAAATGATGATCTACCCTCCAAAGGCAAACTGTAGACCAAAAAGACATGCACATGAAACGACCCCAAGGAACAGCTATGGCTTGGAAGCAGTCGAAAAAAGTTAACGAATATCGAGGGAACGCGCTCGGATAAACTAGGGTGACGACGTGTGTGGCTAATTCCAATGAAGTCATTGGCGAAAACGGTGTATAATATTCATGGATAAATTTATGATGCATAAAAAACGCTTTTTTGATTTTGTTCAAACTGAGCCGTGTAGAATAAGAAAAGACCAAGTAATTAACAATTGGACCTGATTGCGGAAAGTGCATTGGTTGAATTCTTTCCTGGTTCAGTAATCTTACCTTGCTCTGATCAAAGTGAGCACTTTAACGATTATCTCAGCCCCAACACCGATGAAACAGGTTGAATTTTGTGAACAATAGAAAACAATTAAAAAACATTGTCGATTTATCAGTAGTTATGATTTCATTATAAAATATTAGTCTGTTCCAGGCTTCATTTGTTACAAATAGAACTCAGAAAGGATTTCCGATGTAATCAATCATCCCATGTACATCCAAAGTCAAGAACAGAAGTCGCACACTACAAAAAAGCGGAAAGAGAGAACGCATGTAATTTATGATCTAAACTCATTTTGATAAAAATGAAGCAAGCCTTTTCCGGGACCAATTGCAAAAGAATATACCATGTAGCAATGCTGCATGATTTCTGTCCAGGAAGATATCTTTGACATCTGATGAAGCAACAAAAGAGTGAATTGTCTACAGGTCTCGAATAGCAAAACTTCTGAGATTTACAGCAGCGATTGCAATTAATAATGGAAGCTCTCTCTTAGGTGTCAACAGAAGAACGTTAAGTTCGTCTATCCTTACCCTGGTGACATGTTCCTTCTCCCTTCCCGCTCTGTTTGTCTGTTTTAACGTGTTTAATTTTATTTCGTGCCCATGCTAAAGTCCTGAACAAACACTGTTTTCTGTCATATACACCATGTTCAGATGTAGAAAAATCGTCCTGGACAATGATCGTCCCGTATCGCAAAATGGTCTTTTCTTATGAAAACTCATTTTGTTTCCAAACCATTCTGGTTTCTCCTAGAAATCAATCTCCAGTTCAACTAAATTCCCGCAGCAAAAATAACAATGTCGTAAATATAGTATTTGGTCACGCTGAGGTGACTTAGTTGGACCCATTAGGGGCAAAACTGATCGAGTACGGATCGTAGAAATCTTTGACAAATTATACAGCAGCTTGTTTTACCGAATGCCGGAAGCAAACCAGAACATATCTGATGCAAATGCAATCGGTTCCACTGGTACACATCCGTAGCAGTGCCAAGTACCGTTACTAGCTAGTTAGCGTATTGTGGTTTGACGGTTGTTAGCTTACTTTAAGTAAACAATCGAGAGGAATTCCTTTTGTTATTTGTGATGTGATTTCAATAGACATTTGTTCAGATATTCATCCACAGTGAACTATTATATCAACTAATGTCATTTAAACCAATAGTTCTTAATTTGACCTTACGACCGAATACCCTTAGTTCACTGAGATATTGGTATTATTATTTGCCAAAACACAGACAAATTTCAACAGGTGATGGAATTCTTTTAGTTTGGTTTAGTTTGATCGCCATTTGTTATTGTTGTGACGTTGGCACCATGCCTGTTTACAAGCCGGTGTAATATATATATATATATATAGTCACTACACAGCCATTAGTGTTCGTCATCATTTGGGAAATCAAGAGTGTATCAATATGTTTGCATACGATAAAATCAAACAATACTGTCTTGGGAATACCTCTATTACAAGCAAGAAGCATATAGTTTTGCAAGCAATCAAACCAATGTACAAAAACGCAAGCTGTCAGAAGCTTAAATTTCAGGAAACAGCAAACTTGAGAAACGTGGTGATCTTTATTCATCTTATCATGATCAAAAGAAGAGACGTGTGGCGAGATTTCACCATTTCGTCTAATCTTCTCAAGTACTAACGAAAAACAAGCAGGAACATATATAACGCATTGGTTTGGTAAATCCTAGTGAAAGTAAGTGTGCAGATAGCCAGGGGAAAAACAAAAGGCTAACTCCACAACAAGTGAATTGATTGCGTCAATAACTTTTTGGTGCACAAAATGGGATTATACTATCTGAGTATTAACGTTTCACCAATTACCAACAGTTTTGCCTTGCGGTTACTTAATAACGGTTTGAAAAAGGAAGTGGGATTGTCTGATTATCATGAGGTGTTATTCAGTGGATGACCCCGGGTTCCTTGTGGTCATCTGTCTGTTTTACGTCAGTGACTGAAAACATTAAACAAAGTGTAAACATCTTATGACATGTTTCTTCCTTCGGTCTGGATGCGATCAAACATCAAATCTTTTAATTTGTATCGAATGGAGGGAAAAATGACAAAACCTAGTAAAAATATTTTAAACTTTTTGAACGCATAAACATTACGCAATACTGGACTAATTATGAGATATTTCCAATCCATCAGGCGGCACGAAAACACTGACTTGACTCACCGAAACTCCAGCTGATTAACCTGATCTTCAAAACGACTGGACAATGAGATAATCACTTCTTTCAAACCCTTCGCAGAGTTGGGCCATGGCTTTAGTTCCTATCAAAAATTGTCAATGAGAATAACCACTATTAGCGAACAGACCACCTCCGTTGGTTTCCCTTCGGGTTTATTTGCATCCCGATCCTCGGGTCGGGTGAATGCCAGCGAATCATACTTGTCCATCTGGTTCACACGTAACTCTAGTCGTCGAATTCGCTCGAACAGTTCGCGTTCGTCTAACTTGTACGATGGATAAGCCATATGGATGGGGTCACCAATGTGACAAATGAATAACTGTCGAACGGATTTGAACGCGAGTATTCTACAGAACCCGGTTAGGAAGAGCTATGGGATAATCAATCTTCCCTGGGAGCAACGGCAACTATCACCGAAGCATGCACAGAAATGAATTAACGCGTACCGTCTCTTCCCCAAAAATTGCTCATTTCCTTCTTTCGTTTTCCAATTTCAACCAACAGGCCTCATTTCGCACTCACCTTGGAGTTGCCATAGCAGCCGTTTAACCTTGGGCATAACAACATCCGTTCAGAGGGGGTAACAATAGTTGACTGTTGATACCCAGAACATTGTGTAGTGGCTTGTCATTCGTGTCTGTGTGTCTGCTTGACCGTATGTTCCGTGCACATGAGGGACATATCCACTTGTTTTCCATAAACTGACTGTGCAGACCTTTACCGGTACTTTCTGAACTGAGAAAGACAGTTCCTGACAAAAATGACTGCTCGCTTTCAAATCAAAATGATTCATAAAATTTTACTCCCTATTTAACCGAAACCAGAGTAGTAATCTGGGAATGATTGATAGTGGTGGTGGTGGGGTTTTACTTTATTATTACTCTCAAATATATCACACCTCATACGTCCATAGACTGCACCGCATCAGAGGCCCCTCACATAAGCAGGGCCACACCCCTGTTGTGCTTCCTCTACCTGATGTACTTCTCCGGAGGAGCAGAATGAACTGATCAAAGGATAACCGGCTTGTCTACTGCAGTTTGTAAATTGTTCTTCGAAGTGCGAGGGACAGGTGTGCAACTTGAAACAGAAAGAACCAATGATTTGATTTCGTGGCACAATTACTCCTATGTTCACTTTGTTTAAGTCATCTACTGATTGCTGTTTGATGTAAAAACTGGGTTGTGAAAGTATGGCAATGCCAATTTGCATGAAATATACTCACGGATTTGCCATACTAATCAAACTAGCAAAATGTGAACCTCTTCAGATTGACGAGAAGGGAACATTTAACTGAGTAGGAATTATGAAAGGAGGACTGATTACCCAAAACATTTTGCGAGATTAAGAGTGAATTTTGGGAATCGCTCCGTTCCAAAACTGTTCGTGGGCATTATTTTTATAGTTCACTCTTGGCTGGTATCTAAGACGGAACCATCAGTTCGGAGGGCTCTACTGCGTGTCTTGCTGAATACCCTTTCCCCAGAGGTTCGGTAGTGAATTCATTAATTAGATGAACGACCCCACCTTCATATTAGGGCACTATCAGTCTGATCTTCTCTCGGANCGGACCTATGTATTTCTCTAACCGCCCTAAAAACTTAAACATGCGATTTGCAGTACATATTTTTATCCCCCAGTTGATCACGTTAAATACTAAATGATAACTGTTTCTTTGGACAGCAGCGCAGTTCATACCGAGGTCATGACAACCCTTGAAATTTTAGTGTTTTTTGCCTTCCCTCTAAGCTTGATGCTCATCTTGTCCTTCTCAAATAATCCCGAGGTGTTCAATGTAACGTCGTTTTCTAAATCTGTTCTAAAGATAACCATAGGCGGAGTAAGCAGCAATGCTCTGCCAATAGTCTGCTCACATTCCGCAGTGATTGCCAACTCAGACCTCAGTGCCTTTTCAAATTCCGTATCAGGCGTTTGATATGGTTTTGTTAATTAGCGTTAACTCTAATTATCCACGGGAAACATTTAGCACCAATAAAAACGCTCCGCCCCCAAGTCCAAAAAAGCACAATCTGCTCTCTATTCCTTTAAATTCCATCCATTTTAAAATGCTCGGCTGAAGTGAGGTGTAAGTAAAGTATAAGTGTAGTTTTGGGACGATCACAAAGAGTAGCACATTTTATGATAATGCCGGAACGTAAATTTATTCTCGTACCTCTCACAACCAAATCCCAAAGGAAAACCTAACTTGACTCATTATTTAGGTTTGACTAATGAGGCTGTCTACAATACTTACTACATGTATTACATGGATTCACGGTTTGCCATTTTGAGGGTTTGAATTTGAGAGTAGAAAACATCCTTCGATTGAAAGTTTTCGATAATCGGTGTTTACTTAGTTCGGCCCATGTGAGACGGAGCGAACGGGTTAGTAATTCGAAGGTAAGCCGTCGTGTTTCGGAGTTTATCAAGAATAAACTTATTAGTTCAGCTATTACAATCTAGTAGGCTCCGCTGGCTAGGACACGTGTTGAGTGAGGCTCAGTTGTCGTCTGTCGCACGGCTGCTCATTCACTGTAGACACTCCGAGCTTGAAGAAACCCCATAGAGGTCAACGTGTAGCGTTGGGACGAGGTATGGAAAAATGTAAAGAGCGATTAGGTAGAATGGGTGTCTCCCGTCTTCGAGGTTTTAGTCCGAAAAACTATGTAACTGGTTGGTTTGAAGCACGGATGAATATGACGGCGAAACGACAGCGATGGCATTCTTGTTGTCATTTCTTATCTGACCAGAACACTTGAAACGATATGTATGCACAGTTAGTTTGTGTTGGCCATAAAGTTTCACCTTCTTCCCTGTTCTCAAAGGAAGGTCCAATTCTCGTCGACCTTACATACCACCACTATGTATGCATTGTGAGCTTGGCAGTGTTCAGTGAAGACCTGGCATGAGGATATGAAAATCCTAACCAGGAGACTAGGTCGCATAAGCCCTGTTAGGCTCCCTGGCTGGGGACCTCGGGATGATGGTCACCGACGGTTAGATACACTGAGCGATATGGATGGATGTCAAACAGTGGCGCTTGTGCTTCCACTCACTTTTCCCCTAAAACCATTCTCTATGAATTCTCCATCTTCCGCTTAAATTTGCTTTCAACATTCCAACCTTCATTCTGCTCTTCTATCCAAAGACAGCAATCAGAACCGGCACACGAAAGTGCATAGCTGATGGTTGTAAAAACTGACTGAACTGAACTGGTGACCAGTGAAGTTGGCTATACTGTATTTCGGTACACGATGTTAACGATTATTACCTAATCGCGAAAGCCTGACCAGAGCCAGAAATTCGACGCCGATCACGTTGAGTAATGGAACGATTGAAATTATCACAGATGACCTGGCACGACAAGTATGAAGTGTAAATAAGAGGTACTGTCGTCATTATGCGATACATATGCGATACGTAACCCAGTTGAATGTGATCTGAAAACCGATGTTGTTCAGATCGCGAAACTTCACCACCACTGGTATTACACAACCTGAAGTATCGCAAATGGCGAAAAACTAAGCAGAAATGTATGCCGCCAAGCGCAAACTGACGATTATCTCCAACAATGCCATCTGGAAATGGACACAGCAACGTGGAACAGTGTGAATGAGTTTCAACTGTGGCTAAACATGACCTCATTGCAGAGGAACTAATATTTAGTAGAAAAACTTTTGAATATGACCAGTAGCACAACCACATACTGTGGTCCCGTAGTTTGCACCCGTTTCCTGAGTGAATTGGAAATGCCTACTCGTGAGTAGTACGTTTGTGGTGCGAAACTAATTTACCCGAAGGAACATGATGTAACACCAATCCAAAGGATGGTTTATGCATGACGAACTTCACTTCTCCGCAGTCGCGATACGATAGCCAACAAAAACGACAAATTCATAGCGGTGGATCATTGGACCTCCTGTCGGTGGACGTCCTCCTGTAGGATCGCTCTAGGGAAGCGCGTCGAGTTAAATCACGAAAAGTCGGCGAGTTCGGAAAATGAACAGGGAACAGATGACAATCACGATTAGATACTGCAAAATCTGTTATATATTGTCAATGGTTACGTGGCTTTTAAACAAAAAATGCGGTGTACATTTTCATATTTCACCCACGAACTTTTCCACACCTGAAGCACTTTGAACTGCATTCGAAAGAGCTATCGAGTTTAGATCATTGAAATGCGGATGGATTGGTGGCCCACCACGCGGAAATTCACTTGCGAAATTCGATCGCGTGGTCAAGTGACAACAATCACTATCAGGATACTCAACTTGTAACTTTTCCAAAAGGTTATAAAACCCAGAACGACCAAAGCAATTAATCTTTAGGAAAGGTACATAAGTATAATATCAAAGACTTTACCCTTTGAATTATTTGTCCGTTGTCCAGTCATGTACATCCACCAATCAGTTTATTTTAGGTATCTCGCGAAAAGACTGATTCATCTGCCGTCACCAATAACTTTTCAAATTGGATCTATCATGCGGTTCGTTGGTTCCGAGTAGTGGCTTCGGCATCAGTAAAAAATAGCCCATGGATTTAATTGTGGAAAATTAATTCATATTTTGCTGTTTTCGTTGTACGGCTGTTCGCTTCCCAGAACAAAAAATATTTAATTGTTGGTAGAGAGAGCTACTGACGAAACCATACGGGACTGAAAGATTTTGATTTCTTGGTTTTGGTAATCTAAGCCTTTCGCTAGCCTATACCGGCTAGGCAACCGAACTGTGTACAAAACTATAATAAATATGGAATGAGGTTCAGTCCATCGAATTATACGAACTTCGGGCGGGAACAGATGTTGTCGGTGTACACCTAAGTTGGTTTGGAGCCAGGTAATTTAGCCAACTCCACTGGGCTAAATATTAGTAGTTCACTGTACCGGCTATAAACCCGTTGGGTTTGTTTTGTTCTCACGCTTCCTTTACGTTGTCAAAAAAGACGGTTGGGTAAATGTCTCTAACAATGTCTTCGGCTCAAGGTTAGCTTCCTTGCATGGTTGCAACTGGTAGCACACACATTTACATTGACCTGCACATTTTCGCACAAGTTGTGTATATTCATTTGCACCAACAATCAGTACGTGGCACTCAGGCGTCTCCTGCATCGTTCTCACTTACTCACTGACCTTTTTATGGACCACACGCGATACCTTCGTCTAACAGAAACTCTAAATATCGATAGAATTAAAAAATTTACATGACAAATCAAGCCGCACAAAAGCGAGGCGACCTGCAATTATTTACCGATTGCTTTATTTGGTCATTGGCGTGCTTCGGACCC